GTAAGATTAATAACGGGAAACTCTGATGTGGTGATCATCTATTATTTTCACCGTCACCATCTTGGATTCTTGGAGCCAGAAGTGACCATTTTTGGATGAAAGGGTGGAGCTGAGGAGGAGGAGTCAGGGTTGGACCTCACTGAGAATGCGGGGACACCTCTGTGGTAGCGACTTTTTAATGAGACTGGCTACGTTAACATGATGGCTTCTCATTCAGAATGAAATAAATCTGAATGAAATCATTCAGAATTAAAGTTTCTCCAGGTAGTTTACATGAGATATATTCATTCCGAATGAGGGTTTACACGGGAGATCAGTTTAATCGCCTTTATTCGGGTCTGCGCAAGGTTTGGGGCAGGGAAGGTTTCTGATTGGATAGGGGGTGGGGTGGATGTTACGTGTTTACATTTACCGGAAGAAAACACTGTAGTCCTCGCTCCGGATAACAAGATGCTTGACGACGCAGTTCTTAGTGCCTTTTTAAGGCTTGTTTTGCTTATATTCTTGAAGCAGCAGTAAGAAAACAACCTTGTTCTGCTAATGCTTCATCTGTTGAGGAGGAGAAGGGAGGTAGAAGGTCAAAGAAGGGAGATAGAAGACCGTGCTGTGGTGAATGGAAACCGGTGAGTGCAACGAGTCCGACTGCTCTATCTTGTCCCGTTGCTATGCATGCTATATATGTCATCGCGCCAGAACGGCAAGGAAACGAGCATGCGCAGAAAGACCGGAATGAACTTAAAGAGGAATGAGTGTATACAAGTGCAAGAAATTCTTTCATTCGGAATTAGAAACGGAATATTCCAGCTCATTACATCGGATTGAATTTTCAGTCACATTGGCCATTTCCAGTCTGAATTAGGTGTTTACAAGATCACTTTTAATAGGAATGAACTTTTATTCCAAAATGAAAAGGGAATTAAACTGTCCATGTAAACGCACTCATTGTAGCCATGGCCTCAGGCATATCCTGCGTTATCGTCTATTTTTCTCTAAATGGGAACATAGTTTACAAAATGAGCATCATGCTGTGTCGACCAAACAGCAATCAGCAACCTCCGGGTCTTAAAAATGAAGCCAATGTGTGAGTTACTAAAACTGCAGTTCCTATAATGTCCACTAGAGGCTGGCTCCAGGAGCGAGTCAGTTACCACAGACCTCTATGTTAAAACTTTACAGCAGAAATAAACATGTTTACAGCCTGGTACAAAAACAGTTTTGGTCTCTGTAGCTAATTTCAACATTAATGACAACTGAACAGGGGGAGAATTTTTAAATAACTCACCTCCTAACGTTTTATTACGAGTTAAAGTGACGCATGATTAAAGGCGTGGCCACTGAGTGACACTGCGACAGTGTTGGTTAAGTAACGTAACCATGCCGTAACCCCAGATTCAGAGTAAAGGTGTGGCCGTAGCTGTTGGTGTTTCAGTGTTTTCAGTTCATGAAAGTTAATTTTAACGTTTTGGTCGCCTACAAAAGTCTTGTTCTGAGTTTAGTTGAACCAAAAGACCCTCTAAAGAGTCGGATGTTCAGTTTTGTCCGTTAAGTGCATTTTGTTTTTATGGTTTTGAGCCTGTTTTCGCTAGAGCAAATTAGCATTAGCATTATCACAGTTAACCATCGCTGTAAACGCACCATGCTAACCAAGCTAGAAGCTAATGTGAGGGTCCAAATATGGTCAACCTCTGGCAATGACCACAATACCAAACAAGAGTCCACAAACCTTTGGGTGTCGTCACAGTGGCGTCGTACATTATTTCATACAGGCTGTGCTTTTGACAGAGACGTGGAAAGAGTGATTGAGATCATAAATTAATTAGGAAAATGTTTACTGAGGTCGTAAATCAAGTGAAAAGTAGAGTCATTTTCTCACTGACTTTCATACAATACAATACAATACATACAATCGTCTTTGTACATTCAGTGGAGTCGCCCCCTGCTGGCCATTAGGAAGAATACAGTTTTGAGGCTCTTCTGCATCGACTTTATTTTTCAGACCCAGAAGCTTCGTCCACTTTTTCTGTACTAAAGCTGCAGCTGACAGTTATTATCACTTATTCCACCAATTATCACTTTCTCAATCATTAATTATTTGATGTCTTCATGTTGCTTTTTTTTTCTTTCTGTTAATTCTCGCAGTTAAAAGAAGCAGTAAATGAAGAACGATTAATAGTTTGAAGAAAAGTTGCTGACTCGACCAGTTTCAGCTTTTTTCATCTAAAAATCAAATAAAACATTGGTTTGGTTTTGTTAAGAAAACATTAAATAACCACAGCTACAGTTTGACCATCACAGGCTTCCTTAGTTTCATCATAAATGAAGTTGTAGCTCAGCACAGACACACACCTGAAAACATATACTGTTAAAGTGTGTGTGTGGGCGGCTGGAGGTGAGACTCAGGAGAGTGTGTGTACACTATCAGTGTGAGGAGATAGTGGTGTGTGTGTGTGTGTGTGTGTGTGTGTGAGCGATGGATGTCTCCTGTAAAATGAACAGCTGATGAAGAGTGGGAGTGCAGGCTGACGGCTCCTATCATCAATCTCTCATCTCCCCTCCGTCCAGCGTTCATCATCTTACTCACCTCCAAACCTCCTCCTGACCCCCTCCGTCTCCTCTCCGCCGTACTGCCAGCGTTATACCGCGCTCCCTCATAACCACTAAACTTATTCTGATTGGCACCAGGTCACATCCTCATTCCACACCAGAGTTAAAGAGGCACGTCTGTCTTAACTCCGGAGTCATTTCCCAGGATGCTTCTCACTTGTTTTAGTCTGGAATAATTGTCAGTGTAGGTGTCGAATGTTTCCACTAATAAATCTCATTCTGGAGGGAAACTGCCGAAATGTGTTTTTACATTTAGTGAATAAATGGAGCAGAATTGGTTCAGCGGGAGATGAAGTTAAATCCTGCTGCTGCAGTGAAATGATTCAGCTTCAAGATGCAAATCAGTTCATCTGATCTCAAACAATATTTTAGGAAAAAAAGCTCAAATGTGCATCAAAACTTTGACTTAGAAAAGCTGTATGTTAAGATAAGATAATCAGTTCACTGTATAGTTAATTATAATTAGGGATAGACTGATATGGATTTTTTAGGGCCAATGCCGATACCGATTTTTTTCCATCACCCTTAGCTGATGACCGATTATGGACTGCCGATTTTCTTGAGCCGATATTTGGGGCCGATACTGCTTTTGCTCCCTCAATTTACATAAAAAAAATGACACAATGATAACAAATATTACAGGTCTCAAGTTTAAAATAAGAAACATTTATTGAACAGTAAAAAATACTAAAACAAGATGGAAAGTTGAGGTAGAACAGGTAGAATATTATTATTATTATTATACATTCAAATAAAAAAAAGAGTTCAGTGCTCTTAAATCTTCCAGTAATGTCTTTATAAAATAAACAAATATTTAAGCTGAAGCATAAATAAAACAACAACTACTGTACACAGTAGGATTCAACAGCTTTGTTCAACTTAACCACATACTTTCAAATGAAAAAAAGTGCCAGGGAAAAATAAATCCGCGAACCCACGCACGTATCGGTCGATGCCGATACAAGTAAAAAAACTCAAATATCTGCCCGATATATCGGCTGGCCGATGTATCGGTCTATCCTTAATTATAATTAATAATAATACTGTAAAACTTCAGTTTAAAGGAGCTATATGTAAGAAATCTAAAGCAAATAGTCGTAAAATCCTCCTAATATGTCACAGAGACTAAGGAATAATGTTCATATAACATACTGATCTCACCGACAACAATAGTACAGCCAGAATATTCTCATTTAAAAAACTTTTTTACGGTCCGCAAATCATGTTTATGTTTTGAATTTGTGTTTTGGCCTGTTGCGCCACCCACCGCCGTCTACCAGTCACGCAGTCAGTAGAGTCTCAGCATCAGTTACAGTTACGACTGAGCTACAGCAGCACGGCAAGCAGCATTAGCGGTGTCCCGGTACATAGCATTAGCAGCCGGCTCCTCCTCAGCTGTATCCCAGCAGCAGCGTTAGCAGCAGAGAAGCCGGACTTGCTCGAACGGTCCGCTGGAAAACCAAAGATCAAGGATGCTGCGACACAGCCCTGCCATGGCAGCTGCCCATGGGCAAACAAATCAGTCTCCAGCGTGCCGCTGTCCAGCAACCTCGAATCTGTAGGGGAGGGGGGGCGGACACGACTCGCGGCAGTATTTTGAATTTGAGTGCAGTAACTGTTTTGGCCACATTCTTACATACAGCGCCTTTAACACCCAGTCCCTTTACCAGCCTGGTGTAGCTACACATTTTGACAGATTAACACCTGGCCTGCTCTGGTTGCCAAGCAGCTCTTTTGTTTTTAGTTCTTTGGATTTGTTGGCGACCTCAAATTATGTGTCTATTCTTCGATTACCCTATAAGATATTTATTTTCCTTTAGTCCCTAAGGGTCCTCAGATCAAAAGAATCAAAAGGGTTGTGAGGATTGTTTTAAAGTGGCGTTGTGTCGGTGTGTAGGGTGCTGGGTACTCTCTGTGTGATGCGCTGTCTGTTGGAGTTAGATCAAATGAATGACTCATAACTGATATATATAAGTTAAGGCCTAATTATTAAACAAGTAATATGTTGGGGTTTGTGTGAAAGGAATTAAAGGCCTGTCCCAGATAATAGCCCGGGCTGTTAATTGAAGTTTTACAGTATGCTAATTCTGTAAAATGATGAAGTGATGACATTTTATATCCAAAAGGTCAAAGGTCAGCTTGACTGTGACATCATCATGTTTTAACGTCATATCTCAGGAACAGAAGGGGAGACATTTGGTCAGATACTGAATTGGTGACTCTAATCTTGACACTGTGCTGATTGTATAGATCTTCTGTGTGTGAAGCATCCATGTTTTCACTGACATGGATGGAGACTGTCAGAGACGCTGGACTGGTGGGCGGAGTCATACAACCATGAGGCGGTAATTCTGATTTTAATCTGCAAAGCTGTCCTCCTCTCTGTGTCTGTGCAGGGTCGATGGGGACGGGAGGACGTGTCTGTAACCGGACGTCTCGCGGCGTGGACGGCTGCGAGGTGATGTGCTGCGGCCGAGGCTACGACACGTCACGGGTCAGCCGCACCACCAAGTGCGAGTGCAAGTTCCACTGGTGCTGCGCCGTGCACTGCCGAGACTGCCACCAGCAGGTCGACGTGCACACCTGTAAGGGCCAGACGTGACCTCGCCGCCTCCGAACACTACTGACCGTTACAAAACCCACTGCTCCTGCGCCGGGCTGCGGACTTCCTTTAAGTGACGATCAAAAGGATCCTCTGGCTCTGTGACTGAAGCTGTGAGGCCTCAGTGTTTCTGCCCCTCCCAAACATCACCTGTCAGTCACACAGTCTGTAGCTCTGCTGAAGTTTCCTCTGAGCCTCCAGAAAATAAAAGCTTTCATCACCAAAAAGAAAATATCACTCAGCATAAACTAGTTCATACGATACTCCGCAGAGAAACCTGGTTTTCAGAGGCCGACTGGTTCAATCAGAGTTTAAACAAGTTCAGCTTTAATCTTTAATCCACTTTCAGTTCCAGAGACTCTGGTGAGGCCGAGACGCTTCTAACAGAAATAATCTGCTGGATCAAGTTTAGACGGTTTGGAGGTAAACGACCGACCCGAGGACTGAACCCCAACACACTGAGTGTATATCTTAACTTATATAATCTACTGTAGTGATGTCAGTGATCTCAGCAGGAGATCCTCTGTGGACTCTGAGAGGTTCAGACTTCTTCCAACAATTTAATCCAAAGCAGAAGTTAAACTCAGATGGTTTTGATTTAGTGGCATCTCTCATGTCTATCAGAGACTGGTTTATCACAGAAACATCACTGCAGGTCGATGTTTTTCTCCTGTATGTGTTTAATTTTAGGATTTAATCTGAACTCTCCACCAAAGAACATCAGGATGTTTCTGTCATGTCGGAGGCTTTTCTATCAGAAAGTGTTGAGAGTGACGATCCTGAGACGCTCAGTTACACAACATCAAAACTCTGAATCTATACGAATCACAAAGGTGCTGATTTTTTTCAGCCAAACGGCGACGAGTTGGCAGTCGTGTTTGTTCTTTACTGTTTGCTGGATTGAGGGTTTGTGTTCAGCTCTGAGTGATTCAGTGAGTGTGTTCACGTGCACAGTAACAGCACAGATTTCACAGATGTTCTACTTTAACATCTTGTTGAAGTGTCTACAAATTTAGATTTATAATCACTGAACAATAAAGAGGCTTTTAACTGAAACTAGGGCTAAAAATCTGGAACTGTAATCAATAAAAAAATAATTTCTTTGTTAATCATTAAACACCATCTGGAGCAGGGCTCAGCGACCTTTACTATCAAAAGAGTCTGAACCTGACGAATACACACAGCTTCTTATTTTCCGGTGATCATACACTTAAGAAAACATTATTATATTTTACTCCATATCTGCACATATATCTCCCTGAATCCTTCACACTGTCTGGACCTTTAAGTTGTAAAATTCACCACCTTCAGGTAATAAAACTGAAGCAGATGTAGGTGGTGACATCAACATATCTACATCTGTTACAAGTGCACTATGCAGGAATTTTCAGTTACGGTTTATAAACAGTGTCACCAGTGAAAGCGTGTACACTTCACTATATTTAGTATTTTTCAGTGCTGTTTCCGTCATTTTTTTTAGCTTCCTCTTGTATGTGTGCTGCGTATGATCTGTCACTTGGTCGCTACCTTTTTATAAAGTCCTGCTCTCACCTGAGCGCTGCGCCCAGGAAACATAAGAATCCAGGCAAAGGGCGGAGTCTCTGCAGATAAATACACCACCGCACACTGAGGGTGGGTCGTCACCAGGCCCAAACAGAATCAAAAAGAACTACTGAGATTTTAGTAGAAACTTTGAATCAGAAATTTGATGTAATTCTTCTGGAGAAACTCCCACAAACTGTGCGACACATGGCCGTTAAATTTGAAGCTTCAATACGGAGCAGAGAGAACAGAAATTAATTTGTCTATTAACAGTAAATCTTATTTGTGACATTTCTTCTCACTACACCACTGACTCTGATTTTAACACTAACTGAATACAACACGACTGTCACACACGTGCACGAGGAGGTGGAGGAGACTGTGATGACTTCCTGAGTTTGACAAGCAGCAGCTATATTCAGAAAATCTGTGGGAGCAGATTCTGTTTGGGCCTCATCATTAGTGATGACTGAGATGGATGACTTCTGTACGAGTTTACCTGTATCCTTTCATACCTGTGCTGTCGGTCGTGCAGGTCTGAAACTGTGGCTCTGCAGTTGGATGACATCGTCTTGACTCATCTTCAGTCCACGTGTCTTCGTATTTGTCACTGTTAAAAGCCTCTGAATCAATGAACACAGTGAAGGATGCAAGCTTCACATTTTAGGACAGACTTTGCAAATCTATTAATAAATGCTGTCACATAAAGCTCTGTGCACGTAAACACACTCAGATTCACTGGTAATTAAAGCCCCAAAATCAGCTCACACACACACTCGTTAGATCTGAAGCCTGAAAACACTCTGTAACAACCGTAATGTCCTGTTTCATCCAAAGGTGAATCATCTGTTTCTTTTCTTAGTTCACTGTATTTATTTCCTCTTTTAACGTGTAAAAATGTCTCAAGTGTGTCCGCTGAGATTTAAAAAACACATCTCACCTGTACAGCTGCTCTCTCCACAACAAATGACTCACACACTGCTTCTATATGTAAACACAAAAAGCCTGAACTTCACTTCCTGTTTGTTTCAACACAGTTAAACTGGTCAGTTGTTTGTTTATGTAAATATGTGGTTGTGTAAATTAAAATCAGATGTATAGAGTATGAAACATTATCAGTAACCAGTAGGCACATTTTATCTCAGTTACACACTTTACTTCCTGCTGCTGTGCACGCCAAAATCACAGGACTCGCTCTCACTGTGTGAAGCTACTGAGGTTGAAGAATGTGGTCACGATGCTACAGAGATTTCCAACAAAACAAAAACCCCAACAATCTGTGTGTTGTTTGAGTTTCCTGTTGGACATTAGTATGCTCATAGATCTTGGCAATTTCTTCTTCTTAAGACGCCTTTAAAGGACCAAACAAGTGTGTTTTAACCCTTTACCTACAAATCGTGTGTAGTGTATTTAGAGTAACGTCTGTATTGTGTAATTTGGAGCTATTTCACCGTGTTTTTCTGTCAAAGTGACAAATGGGAACAACAGTTTGTGAAGCCAGTATTGAGCAAGAACGCTGCAGCTGAGAGCTGTGAGCCAGGCTGCAGTGTAACCACTCAAGACATGTTCACACTGTCAGTGTACGTCCACTCAAAGGGTTTTTGTCACTGACAGGCTCCAGTCATTATCTAAGTGTCTGACAACATTATGAAAGGATCCCTGGAGGAAGATCATTTTTGTTTAACCAGAAACAGCCCTGAAATCACCGTCACCAAACCCACCAGACTCCATTTAAATAAACAGTGATTTTAGTGTTTCTGTCGAATCTCAACGAAGTTTGTTTTAAGATGCTACAATGAAATGTATTTAAATGGAGTGTGGTGGGTTTGGTGACGGTGATTTCAGGGCTGTTTCTGGCTAAACTAGAAGGATCTTACTCTTTAACTACAACATATATCTCTGTAGGGATCCTTTCATTGAATATCAATCTGAGCCGGTCAGTGACAAAAACACTTTCAGATGGAAACTGACGGTGCTAACACGTCTCGACTGGTTACTTTGCATCCTGTTTGCAGCTACAGCGCTCTCACTCATGATGAACCAGTTTCAAAGCTTACTGTTCCCTTCAGTCATTGATACAAAAACATGGTAAACAGGGCCCACATTAAAAATACTGAACTCACCTTTTAATGTTTTTGCTATCACTTTCAAATACATGCGTATACGTTCTCATTCTGAAGTCGGCAAATACTGTCGCTTTTGTCAGTGATTTCAGCGTCAGGCCAGCTCTCATAGTGGTATGATGATGCGCTGCCCGTCAGCCTGAGGTATGATACACCACAGGACTGCATCAGTTTGAAACACTGCAGGTAACGCTGTAATATAAGGAGCTGTAAAGTCCCAGTAGGGGCGGGAGAGAGGGGAGGTGGATGGGACCAACAAAGCCTGGACTTTGACCCAGGAGGCCGGTGTTTGCTTTGTATGAATGTAACGCCAAATTATGATGATTTTTTTCCAAACCTAACCATCTGCTTTTGTTGAATTCGCGGTGATGGCAGCAGCGTCCCAGAACATCAACAGCAGACCAAGCATGTAATATGTGGACGTGAGTGTCCACTGAATAAGAGGCGATATGTAACAACTTGGGATGAGAACATGTTCGATGATTGGATGTATTTATTCAACTTTCCAAGCAGCCATTGTTTTCTATTCATTTCTGTGAAACATGAAAATCAATCAGCAGACTGTTAACATCAAGTTTGCATTAATGTTTCTCAAAATCACGTCAGCATTCCCTGGCAACACAGTTAAAGATCAGATTGGTCTGCTCAGCTTATATCAGAAATGTCTGAAAACCAACGACTGCCTGGAACAGTAGAAAAAAATCTGTTCAAGTTTCTAAAATAAAGCAGCTTGTTTTCCAGAGTTATTACCTGTAATGGGACGTATACATGAGAGTTGGTAAAAAGGCTTAAAACCACTGGTCCTAACAACATCTTTTATGTTTGTGTCTGAAAAACAAGTTTTTAAGATCACTGTTTCACCTCAGACAGAATCACCTGGTGGAACTCTTCTTCTACCTGTGGAGTGAGACGTTAGTTTGTGACATCAGCAGAAAACAGAAACACACACAGACTCCACAGATGAACATTAAAACCTACCAGGTTGTGTTAGTTTCATTAAGTGAGCTCCAGCTGACGTCGCTGTGGTGGAGGCAGTTAAACTGCAGCGCATGAATCAAAATGGCGGAAGGAGCCGGCTTGCAGCAATACACAAAAAGTCCTTTATTGTATTTTTTTGTCTTTTCACTTTTTTAATGATGGCATTGATCACCTGTTTTTGTACAACAAAGGAACAGCTTTAAATGATTGAAAACCCAAAAAATGCAAACATATCAAATAAAGTCAAAACCAATTCTGGATTCTGTTGTTTTGCCTTTTTGTTTCGCGCCTCCTCCGTCGTCCTCAGTTTGGTTTGAACTCGCTAGTCTTGGCACAAAGGTGTGTCAGTCCCGTCCTACGCAGCGTTCTGGGTTTCAGTTCAGCTGTTTCTGTCTGGATGGAGGTCGGCTCCTGGTCCTGGTCCTGGGTCTGATTCAGAGTCTGGTCCGGTCCGGTCGGGGTCAGATGCGGGTGAGCTGGTGCCAGAGGCTGGACGGCAGGATGCTCTCCACCTTCTCCATGATGAAGTTCAGAGGAGCGAACAGCGTGCTGAGGAACTGCAAGGACACAAACAACAACAGTCACACACACTTTAACCTGTCTGTTAGACACACAGCTGCTTCATGACCTCACATACTCCTCACTCGTGTTCTTTTCAGTGTCACAGGTTAGATTTTATTATATTTATGAAATAATTAATTTTGTTTTGAAAAAAAAAAAAAAAAACATCACAAGCCAAAGAAAAAAGAAAAAGTAAGGTATTAAATATAAAATAATAAAAAACTGCAAATCCTCACATCTGAGAAGCTAAAACCAGAATTTTAAAAATTTGTTCTTCGTAAATAATTAATTTCAGCATCAAAGTCAATTCTCCACTTTCACATAATAATCCAAACTCATGATCCGCTTACTGTGTTTTATCTGACCTTTAAACATCAACACATGGTATTCATCAGCTGGAGAGAAGACCACTGATGAAGACCATGTGATACAGCTGACAGCTCAGGAAAAAAAAGCTTCTGACTGGATCTTGAAAGAGGATCAGTTTTGGTTTTGTGGTTTTGTCCCTATTTATTCATTTATTTTTTAATTTATTTATCTAGTTTTGCATTTGTTTTTATTTATTTTAAATGTATCTTTATTTTCAAGTGCATTTAATTATTTTTTTAAATTTATTGAGTCATTTATTTATTAACATTAGAGAAATGATAAAAGCTTCCAAAATAAAAAAGTAAGTAAATAAATTAATGACTTTAAAAAAAATGAATATGCCATTAAATGTGCGAAAAAACATGGAAAATAAATGTAGGCATTAATTGATAATTGTGGCATAAATTCATATTTCTGTTTCTTGATTTGTTTAACTTTATGTAACTTTTTCACATTCCTATTTAATTTTCCAATTATTTATTTATTTTTAAAAACCTATTTATATATATTTGCATTTATTTTTTATTTATTTTTAAATCTATTTATCAAGTTATTCATTTATTAATTTTTGATTTTGCCAAAAAATAAAATCTCTCCCTTCTTAATCCCAGATGGATTTAGTGTTTAAACTGTAACGATGGCGCCAATGCTTCCTTTCCATTAAACCTACATTTCCCCTCGGTGGCTGCAGCTCTGAGCACAGACGAGCTCTCTGTCAGGTCTCATATTTGGTTGCTGTTTTGGCAACAGAGGAGGTGAAGGGTGGGGGGGGGGGGGTCGGGGGGGTGATAGGGGCTCCACCGGAGCAGCAGCAGGTCATGGAGGCTCTCAGTTTGTCAGACGGCAGATAAAAGCCGTGACAGTCTCCTCTCCACCTGCATGGATCTGCACTCAGTGGTTTGAATGTTTGAAGCGACGTCTGCCTCACACGTCGTATCACACATCTCTGCCCTGACTTCAAAGGACACTTCAAAGTGAAGGTGTGTGTGTTGTGTGTCTGAACCGTGTGGGCGGCAGCCAGGTAGAGACCGGCCTGTGATCCAGAGAGAGTGGGGACGCATCACCTGATGGGTGCTGACCTCATGAGGTGGATCAGGTTTGTCAAACAGGACGTGATCATCTCATGATCCACGTTCCCTTCACGCTGCTGGAGGGAATATTTATCAACCTTCTGCTCGTGTCGCCGTCAGTCACATGACTCTGTGACAATTATTACAATATGAGAGTTGTTCAGTCATGTGTGTCTGTGCCAGTGACGTGCTGCGTCTTATAAAACCTGAGCTGCAGTATAAAGACACTCAGCTGATGTGTTATACCTCACAGGAAACGACGTATTCCGTCATGTGATGAAGTCAGTCAGTAGGTGACGGACTATCCAACGCCACACTCATTCAATGGACGGTATTTGCTATAAGAAACTGTAAATCAGCGTCTTTCCATTTAAAGCTTCAGTTGGTGACTTTTATAAAAAAGATTTTTGTCATATTTGTTCAAACTGTCGCTGTATCACACAGCAGGACATGAGACTGATGACATCATGTTTCTCTGCCTCCTTGTGTTGCTTATAACGACATAACTGTGCATGAAAGGAAACAACCAATCAGAGGCGGCAGTAGCTCAGTCCATAGGGACTTGGGTTGGGAACCGGAGGGTCACCTGTTCGAGTCCTCGTCCGGACCAAAATATGGAGCGTGGACTGGTAGCTGGAGAGGGGCCAGTTCACCTCCTGGCACCACTGCCGCCACTGCCGAGGTGCCCTTGAGCAAGGCACCGAACCCCCCAACCGCTCGGGGCACCTCACCAAGGGCAGCCCCCTCACTCTGACATCTCTCCACTTTGTGCATGTATAGGTCCGGTTTGTGCATGTGTGTGTCTTTCGGACCTGTGTGTAATTACAAGCAAGAGTGAAAACATTGAATTTCCCCTCAGGGGGATTAATAAAGTAAATAAACTTAAACTTATCAGACGGATCAAATCCTGACAATGAAATGAGTCATTTCACGGCGGACATGATGCTAAAAAAAAAAAAGTTTTCTGATACTGATTTACAGACATTTCTGTCACAATGTACTGTTTGGGCCACAGGGTGTCACGTGATGTAGTAATTACACTTTGACTTCCTGGGGGCCTGGGTGCATTGCTTGACTTTTCCCAACATGGCCGCAGGTCACAAATTTTGATTTCACACCTAAACAGTGACTAAAAATGTTTCTGAAAACATTTTAGGTGAGAAATAAACAACGTAGTAACAGAATCTTGACTCATATTTGATCAGCGCGTCCTAGTTGGACAGTTTGACTACAGGTCACCAGCTGTGATGACATGACTGGCAGCAGCGTTACAGACTTGGTTCTGATTGGTTGTTTTTGGTGTGCCGTGGTCTGAATCTAGCAAATGCCATTAGAGGGGACAGGAGTAGGAAGGGGCTGTGATGTTGTGCAGATTATCTGTCTCGTACTTCTTTCAGATTTTAACGACAGTTTCAGCAAATATTTGTATCAGTTTTATTTTCATAGAAGTTCAGAGCGTTAGCTTAAATGTGTTGAAATAAAAATTAAAAAGTTGTTTTGTTTCCAAAACAATTTATAAACTGAAAGGTGATCACTGCACTAAAACCTGCAGGATGACTGTAGTGAGAGAGCAGCAGGCCTGTGTGTGTGTGTGTGTGTGTGTGTGTGTGTGTGTGTACTGTAGATGGTATCTGCTGATAGCGTCACATCGGGGGGAGAGATGACCTCACTCACATTCCAGGTGAGCAGCACAGCACTGCAGGCAGCGGGGAGGGGTGGGGGAGACAGCGCCCTCCACTGGCTGCTATGAGCACAGCAGGGCTGAAGGAGACTGTGTTTGTTACTAAGGCTGAGAGAGGACGTCAAACCTCAGCAGGAGCTGAAGAAAATAACGATTTAACAGCGTCTAAACTTTGATACACGTCCCTCTGAAGCACTGCGATACGTCTGTGTAAGGCCACAGTGGAGAAACATACATTCTGACTGAGTGTCTGCAGGAACTGACCAGCTCACTGACCTAACACACACCAACTGTGCTCGCTCTTAAAACCAGAACAACAGCAAATTAATCTGATTGTTAACACAAATATTACACACAATCCAAAATGTAAAATGTTACAGTTTACAAACAACCAAGACACAAGGATCATTATTAATAAACTGCTCCAAGTCTGAGAGGTCAAAACAGAAAGTTTATCCTGAGTGTGTGGTAGATGAAAGGTCAAGGGGTCATTAAAATCAAATGAGCTCATCGTGGCGATCTGCCTGTTAGGTCATGACACCGAGTGCAAAGCAGAGATTTCTAACCAAAGGTGGAGGATAACACAGGTCAGAGGGTCACTGGAATATTATTCCATCCAGCAGAGCTTATGGAAATGAGGCTATTAACTTTTAAGATCTCTCGTCATGAACCAAAGTGCAGGTTAAGAGGAAAGTTTTGAGCGCGCGAGAGAGAAGGTCAGAGGTCGACAGAATCATTCAGATGGGTTCACTAGAGACCATCTGCAGCAACGCTTCACCTCTCATTGATTTTTACTGCGATGTGCTGCAGCAGAAACCAAAGCTCTGTGTTTTAAACTTTACAAAACAAGTTACTCTGTGTCTGTGTGTGTGTGTGTGTGTCTGTGTGTGTGTGTACTCACAGCTTTAGCAAACACTCCCATGAGTTCAGGGAACTGGTGTGTGAGCAGAGCCAGCATGGCGGTGAAGGAGCAGAGACCGGCTGTGAAGAGGATGAAGAAGGGCAGCTCCTTCTTAGGGTAGACTGACACCTCGTGAAACACTGCTTCCACGTGGGACAAAGACAAACACACACACACACACACACACACACACACACACACACAAAGATAAAGTTAGTTTAGACATTAACATCACAGACTTCTCAAAATGTACTTTATATCTGCAGGTGAGGTAGTTTTGTTTGTTTGTTTGTTTGTTTGTTTGTTTATGGGCATGTATCTCATGGCGCTCAGGTGAGTTCGGGACTTTATAAAAAGGTAGTGACCAAATGCCAGACTGTACACAGCAGGCATCAAAGACACACAACTCCAGAAAAACACAAATATAGAGAGACGAAACGCAATAGAAGAGAATCTGAGCTTTTACTGTCACTGACGAGCATCTTTACAAATAGTAACCAACAATCCTGCGGAGTCTAAATCTGGAGCTAAATTGCAACGGGGCAAGTGTTACACTATACCAGGATATTTTGAAATCCTGACAGTCTGAGTTTTAACACCATCAAAATTACAGATGCTCCACTTTCCAGTAACCTGATAATAAGATGCTGTGTTGAGGCGATGTCTTGCAGTACACATCATGCGCCACCAGAGGTCAGTCTCTACTGGTAAAACAGGCAGCTGAGCTGAGAAAGATGGCGACTGCTCGTGGAGGGGATAACGTTATAGGACAAGTCCAAAGCTGGCCATCAACAGCAGAGGGAAACACAGCATGTCAACAGATTAGCTGTGCTGCTGCAGCTGCTGCATGGAAATGTTGTCTTACAGAGTGTACACCAGTGAAATGTCAGGAAGTTATGAAGCAGGGTTTTCCACTCATTTATTTGTGGCAGCCCACCACCAATAAAACATCTGCCACCACATTTGATTTTCTATTTTCAGACCGGCCGTTCATTAGGTGCGCTGTTGAAATATATTTATACCATTCGGTTATTCATTGCTCCAAACTGTCGGACTGCAGAGTGCACTCTGGGTACAGACGCAGCACCGATCACACAGAAAGTGTTTTAGCAGCTGGAGGCAACTTTTTGTACTTGTTCTTAATATAAATTAAGCTTTTTGCTCGCTGTTTTTGTTGCTACATGCGTCATGTTTCTGTGGTCTAAGCGCCTGGAGTTTTTGGTGGAGTGCTCTGAACTCCTCGAGGTGGAAAAAAACTTCAACTCAGAGCAGAAAAGTGCCCCACGTCATCTCTGCTTTTTCCCCCATTGTCCAATTGGATGATTTGAGAGGCGGGCCTTCTGTGGTGGTCGGTAAACAATGGAGGAGAAACTGGTGGTAGTGGTTGCTGGATACCCAGAGCTATACAACTTTACAAACCACAGTCAGCACCATCTCAATAGAAAACAGCAGGCGTGGAAGCAGATAAGTGCAGTACTTGAAACGTCCATGATGGAGGAGAAGCTCCTGGACCAACTGGTGGTACTCCCCATGATCCAGCCTCTTTTTTAGGGTCTCATGTACCCACACAGATCTCTGTTTATCTGCTGACAGCCTCTCACCCTCATCCTGGATTTTAACTTAGCAGCCACACACAAAAATTTAGAGTAAATGCAATTCCAGTAAGTAAAAAAAATGTTCGGGGGAAAAGTAAACTTGAGACTGTTTCGATACAACTGAACGACAGACTCCCTCTGCAGTGAAAAGGAGGACTCAGTGTGGTCGTACGCAGACAGACGTGTCTGATCAGGTTACTGCTAACATACATTCAAACATATGGTGTGTGAACATACTGCTCCTGTATGGGAGGAAAAACACCGCTGCTGCAGCTGTTAGCTCTGCGTCATATATGTGTGTCAGACGGGTTTAATGAGGCTGGAATTTAGAATCAGTTAAAACACAATGTTTTCTGTCTTTAACAAACATGACTGTCCGCAGAGAGAGACGTTTATACTGCAAATACACACACACACACACACACACACACACACACACACACAGGCCAGTGTGTTGCTGCTGGTGGCTGAGAGCCAACTTAATCAAGTGAAGGTTTGTGTGTGAAGACAGACGAGCTGCTGAGCAGACAGCACGACGACACACACATCACACACACACACACACACACCAGTGCTCAGGACTAAGGAAGGAATTTGTCTCATCATCACAATTATTAATGACAAATTCAACCAGTCAATTTTGTGCCAGACATAAAATTAGCATAATTATTTTAAATGAAACGACTAAATCTACATCAGCCTCATAAATACTAACAAGATATCACACTTTGTCCCAAAGAATCAAATCAAACCTACCGTCAACAAACTGTAGATTCTACTACACACTAAACACGTCTATGTGATTAATGCTGCTGAGAGACTGCTCATAATTATTACTCTGTCATTCTATAATAATAACACACACTCCAGTACACATGATTTATCCATCAAGACTAAACTCCAGTTTTTATCACTGTTTTAACTTTTAACTAAACAGTCCTGCTAACAAACAGGAGGGTTTACAGTAACATGTAAAAATAGATTTTTTTAACTGAAATTTTCAGACCATACTTTTTGCCTTGTACTGTATATGTATGAATGTGTGTGTGTGTGTCAGGGCGTGTCTTACTGGGTAGCAGCTCTCTGTCGGCCGTCTCTGTGCAGATGGGATATGGATAGAACAGGTGACCCTTCTCCAGAGGATACGGGATCATTCTGAACGCTGCAAACACACAAAAACACAAAGGTTTAATTAACAAAGGGCTGCAGGCGGCTAATTACCTCTTCAATAATTAACTGTGAATTACCATGTGGCCAGTGTGTGTGTGTGTGTGTGTGTGTGTGTGTGTGTGTACTCACTGCCCTCCCAGGTGCAGTGCAGCAGGTTGAGCGCCCCCTCGACCCTTTTCCAGTGCTGCAGGTGGAAGAAAGCATAGGCGATGGCCTCGCTGTCTCCTCTCTTCAGGATGTGTTCTGGAGGAAGAATCAGACTCTTCATCTCCAGCAGATACTGAGGAGGAGGAGGAGGAGGAGGAGGAGGAGAAGAGACAGATGATCAGGTGACAGCAGTTAATCTGAATTTGACACAAATGGTAAATAAAATGCGTGTAGAAAAGAAACTGCATCTAAATGGCCGCTAAGAACCTGATTAATCAAACCAACAGCAGTCGTCTCTGAAACACGTCAGTCTGACTAGAGTTCATCATCTGTAAACTTTAATGTCAGGTTCAGACTACACAACATTTTTGTCTGTTCCTACAGTCACTATGTCACATTAGGCAAATCTTGCCATCAGACCTGACACACTACACGTTGGTCCACAACCAAACCTCACTGGTCGTCTTTCACGATTCGTGTTTCACAATAAAAGCCTTTTCAGGAAATGAAGGGCTTCTCTTAACTGATATGATAGGGGGCTTTTAAATTGAAACAGATACAAGAAGTGTTGAGTTTTAAACGACGGCATGATGCGTTAACTTTAACAGGATTAAAACTAAAAAAAGAATGAGAAACAGAGGCCTGTTTCTAATGACGTGTGTTGAGGTGCAGCTGGCAGCCTCTGCAGCTGTGCTGAGTCAAGGCCCAGACACTATCTGAATTTTATTCCTTTATGTCCATTATGAAGAAAGAACATTCTTTGCTAGCTTGATGCTAATGGCAGTACTCAGTGGGTTGATAAAGTGCCTCTGCTGTTTCCTGTTTACTCTGTGTGCTAACGTCCCTACAGGAAATATCTAAAAGGCTGGGCTGTTGTTCTGCAGTTTCCATGGTAGCAGATCACTCTGTGTTCCTATTGGTCAAAGTGACAGCTGTGAAGGGAGAAGTTGTGAACAACAAAAAGAAAATCAAACATGGCAGACTTTCTGTCAGGACGTCATGAGGCGTCCCAGATGTGGCGTCAGTTGTCGTCTACTATAACACACTACACGAGATGAAACGATGGATTATCGCGTGCGACACTCATCAACGAATTTAGCAGACACCTTACGACTCTGCGTTGGGCTTTAATTGGGCTGATCATGTAGTCTGAAGTCAGAATAACTCAAACCAAACCAGATCCTGATTCACATTAAATTCACTTTGCTGCTTTTTATTTCTCTATTTTTCTGTTTCTATATTGACAGTGATTCACATTATGAAATAGCCAGATGGATTAATTTCATGAATAGAGCAGCACAAGTGTGAGTTTAACATCATGTTCAAAGTAGATGACGTGCATTAGCTCAGTTTTATTGTGAATTTAAGAACCGACTGAACTGATAAACAGCAGCCGACAGACTTTATTATTTCTGAGCTGCTGTCGTTCTGAACATTTTATAGTTTTAGAGTTTTGTGCATCAACACGCCATCATTTAAAATATTATCACAACAGGTTTAAGAAAAGATCGTTTCTCTCACCATGAACTAAAACCTTGACCACACATCAACATGGCAGAGTGTAGCTTATCACTCATTTATCTGTATCACTGTATGATGTGTTTGAAGTCTCTGTTAAATCACACGTCCTGCTCAGTTTACATCATGCATGTTGGTTGACAAAGTTCTCTTTATCAAAAGTGACTAATTATCTAATGTGTTTATTTAAACCCAGTGTGAGTGTGTGTCTGCTGTTGACAGAAACAGATTCATGTCAGAACTCAACCACAGCCAATCATGTTTTACGTAAACAGTTTAACACCTTCACTGACAGGAAGCTGAGACTGTGATCACAGTATGAACTCAGCAGCTGTAGTGTGTGTGTGTGTGTGTGTGTGTGTGTGTGTGTGTGCGCACTGTCAGTATTTATGAGTCTCACTTTAGGGACGTGAGGGTTGAACTCCACCGCTCTGTGGATGGCTTCTACTGCGTTCATCTCTGCTGTGCTCAGCCCTCGCCTGGATGCTGCTTCTGGAGAAAATCTACATACACACACACACACACACACACACACACACACACACACACACAAATACTCCTGTCAGTGATCTCACATGGGATTGTACATCACTATATGATCAAAGTCATTTTGAAAACAACTCCCACAGTGGTGAATAAAGACGACTGTAACGTCACTAACCAGCTGCTGTGTATCAGAACATCACACACATCTCTGACATGTGAAGAGCGTCTGATACTCACATAAATAATATAAATAAAATGAAGTGAAGGTTTAAAGAACACTTGGATTAACATGTGAGGATCAGGGCAGCAGAAAACTCGAGTACATCACCAACAGATACTTTGACTGTTTCAGGCTGGAGATCGTGGATTTAATAATGAACAGAAAAGGGACACAGGTGGATTATAATCAGGAATAGGATGATATGAAACTTTCACGTCACAGCTATCCTGGCCAAAATGATTGTGAAGTGATGCTCAGGACATGTGGAAGCTTTCTTTCCATTCCTCACTGACAACAATCCCACTCTAGAAAGTGCTGCACCATCTACTGGTTTGACTGGGCCTGATCAAAGACCACCGTTTTATCCTTGAAACACGTCGCAGTGTAAACACTGTGTGTAACATTATCTATTTAACCATGCGACTGTACGAGGTGAGATCCATTAGAGTTATTGCTGGAATACTCCACCTGTCTTTGGGTGTAGATTTGTGGTGACGTGTGTTCGTGTCGTGACGCTCTGAACCATCCAGACGTTCCCTCAGGTAAAGATTTCTGAGCTGAGGTTGTTATCGCGTTTAACGATGGCACAGCTGTTTCAGAGCTGTGAGAGCGGTGATGTGTCTGACTGAGAATACTGAACTTCACCACACCTGCTGATCCAGACTATATTCACCTTCACTGAGCTGTCTGCATGTTGTGCTGCTGCACGAGGTGCACGACAAGACTCAAAATATTTATCAGGAGAATGCAGAAGAATTTATCTTTTCATCTGTTTTTTTCCATCTTTTTTCTGTCCCACACATGTCCCCTTGGGGACTCCGTAGGGATCACTTTATCTCACATTTTGTAAGAAACAAATATTTTTATTTCATGACAGACACAAAACACACACGTTTTTAAGTGAACATTCTTTTTAGTGACGAACAATCAAAACAATCTTACAAAGTGAGGCTTTTCAACTGTTTGAAATGATCCCTAACTCCATAAAACTTAGGACACTGTGTAAAACACAAATAACCTATATTTACCAGATAACAGCGTGAAACAAGATATTTAATGTTCAAACTGATACTTTTTTTTTTTTCTTTTATTAACACTGAATTTGATGCTGCAACACGTCCCAAAAAAGTTGGGACAGAGGCAACAAAAGACGGGGAAAGTTGTGGAATACTCAAAATACACCTGGGACACTTCACAGGTAACAGATTAAAGTGTCATTATTGGGTATGAAAGAGACGTCCTCAAAAGGCTCAGTCGTTCACAAGTATGGACGGTCACATTGTGATAACTGTGTGGGCGAATAGTCCGACAGTTTAAGAACATTTTTTAATGCACAATGGCAGAAATTTAGGATTTCACCATCTACAATCTAAAATATAAAAAAAATTTAGAGGCTCTGGAGAAATGGCTGAAAACTAACACTGAATGCCCGTGACCTTTACTACATGGGCTGAGGAACACTGTGGAAAACCACTGTCAGTAAACACATCGCTGCTTCTACCAATGACAGTTCAGACTCTATCGTGCTCCCAAACACACTCTGTGTTGTTAAAAGAAAAGGTGATGTCACACAGCGGTGAACAGGCTCCTGTTCCAACTTTATTTTATTGTGTTACAGGCATCAAATTTGTGAGTGAGTGAGTGAGTGAGTCAATTCAATTTACTGTGTTTATTATTGCGAACATCGCTAGTTCTCAGACCACTTTTGACACTAAAATGAACATTAAAAATAATCAATGGGGGGGAAAAAGATAAAGCTACAAACAGCTAATATAAATGTTTTGTGTGTGCACATACGAGTGTGTTTAAATGGGTACACAGATTAAATAAAGGCTCTTTCTGTGGTTTAATGTGTGCACCATTATGATATGTTTTACAGTCATAAATAACCCTGTCCCTCTGGTTGACAGCAGCACACTGACAGAAACACTCAGTCACAGTGATCGACCCTCCAGGCAGCTCTGCACCATAGAGCTGAATAACTGCTCACCCACTGTCACTAAACCAGCTCCTCTCTCATTCACACTGAGCAGCTCCCGGGTCATGTTAAACTCTTAAATAGCAGAGCAGGTATGTAGCAGAAGAAAAGCGATACTCACTTGTCCGATACCGCCCTGGCTTTGAGCAAGGCTGCTGTGTAGCATATTGTTGCAGATTTGGGTAAGCTAATATCTGTGGAGGAGACACAAAGCAGACATGTCACACTGCAGCCGCCTCGAGGGGTTTGTGAACAAAGATAATGAGTTTGGGTTTCATCGCTTCGGGGGTGTTATCAAGTCTTATTTTTCACTCGTCCAACAGTTAAGTTTGATCTTAATTCTTTTTTCACTGATGTAAACACGACTCCAACACTGAGGCTGAGATATTCTATATAACATAAACATGGATGAATCAAAGACACTGTTACAGCTTTACCAGTGTTGTGTTACATCCTGACAGATCAATGTTGTATATCTTTATGTAGGTTGGTTTTTCTTTATGTATGTCTGCTGCACTCTTTACTAAATCCTACATATCTATTAACAGCATCACTGAGAACAGTTTCACAAAGTAAATCTATTAAATTTCATGTTTATTTTGCCAATTCAAGTGAATTTAAGAGCTATTTTTCTGCCAAATTAACTCAAGTAAGTAAAAAACGAACGTTGCTGTGTAAGGAAGCCATGGACGGCCGTGCTTGCAATTATTTTTTAATGCCATTATCCTGGGGCGGTAGAGCGGGCATCCCATGTACAAAGGCAATGTCCCCCTGCTGCCATTCATACTTAATCGGTCCTGTCTCATAAAGCCAAAAACCCACAAAAAAATCTTAATGCCATTATCTCAAGATCAAGAGTCAATCATTTTATTTTCTTGAGATAAAAAAATAATTAAACACCAGAAAACAACTTTTGCTTTATCGAGACAGCGGGATAATTACAGAGAACTGTTAATCCACTAATAATCAGAGTAATAGAGTCAGAATAAAAATGGGAAGAGGCTGCTCTGATTGGAAGGAACCGTCAGTCTGGTTGAGAGAGATGATGTAAACCCTTGATAAACCCTTTGAGGCAGCTGTGGCTCAGAACGGAGAGCGGGTTGTCCACTAGGGCTGCAACTAACGATTATTTTCATTGTCAACTAATCTGACGATTATTTCTTCGATTAGTAGACTACTCATTTTATCGAAAAAATATGTTAAAATGTTGAAAAATATCGGTCTGTCTTGCCTAAACCCCAAAATTATGTCATCTAATGTCTTGTTTCATACTCACACCAAAGGGTTTTAGTTCACTGTCACGGGAGAGTGTGTAAAGCTGCCAATATCTGAAAGTAAGAAGCTGCAGTAAGAGTATTTTAGGGTACCTTTATAGTACTTTTCTATGACTCAAACTGATTAGTCGACTACTAAAATAGTCACCGATTATCTTAATAGTCGATAAGTCATCGATTAGTCAACTAATCGTTGCAGCCCTATTGTCCACTATTGGAATATCAAGGGTTCGATCCCCGGCTCCTCCAGTCTGCATGTCGAAGTATCCTTGAGCAAGATACTGAGCCCTAAATTGCTCCTGATGGCTGTTCCTTCGGTGTGTGTGTGTGTGTGTGTGTGTGTGTGTGTGTGTGTGTGTGTGTGTATATGTGTTAAAAACTGAGTAGCAGGTGGCACCTTGTGCAGTAGCCTCGGCCACCAGTGTATGAATGTGTGTATGAATGGGTGAGTGTGACTCATAGTGTAAAAAGTGCTTTGAGAAGTTGGAAGACTAGAAAGACGCTATACAAGTGCAGTCCATTTACCATTGATGTGTAGTTTTCATCAGCTGCTACAGTTGTCATATCGCCACCTGATCTGGGATTTTTTCATTTGTACTTCGGTCAGTATTTGTTGTCTTCAATTATAAATATAAATCTGAAATGACTCATAAGTAAGAAGAGGAAACAACCTTTGTCTTCTCGTGATAACGGGTTGGTTATCTTGTTCTCGAGATAACAGCTCGTTTTCACAGGGTAACAAAATAATCAACTCGTGATCTGGAGTTAACGGCATTAAAAAAATAATAGCAAGCACAGCAGTTATCCGCTTCCCTGGCTATGGAAGTACAGGTTTGTAATATTACATACATTTATTAGTTTTAAAAAAAACATAAATCTGTCTGCCAAAAAAAACCAAATGAAAAAAAACCAACTATAAAGTAGTTTTACAGCATTAATGAACATTTGAGTGGGCACACCACATAAGACATCAAGTACTTTGCCATCATTATACTGTATATAAACTGGGTTTTTAATCTCTATGTGAACATAGATAAAATTGTGGTGCTGTGTGTTCGAGTCCCTCACCGTCGTACTTGGCCAGAACGGCCTGGACGTCGGCGTAGTTCTGGAGCTCTAGTAGCGACTCCAGCAGGTTCTCGTGGATGTTGAACATACTGAGGAGAGGGAACTCCTTCATTAACTGGAAAACACACAACTGTTGTTACATGTAATACCGGACAGGGGGCGACACATGCACAGTCAGCAGACAACAGCTTTGGGTCATTATTATACAGTTACACAACGCTGTCTAGTTAAAGCCTTGTAACGTGAGTGAGTGTTGGACATGTGGAGTTCAGTCTCCTGACAGCTGTAATCAAACTGATCTCATGTCGTCAGGAATCAAAGAACAACCTCCTGTCAGTCGTGTGTGTGTGTGTGTGTGTGTGTGTGTGTGTGTGTGTGTTCTGCTGGCAGACTGTGTACTTACATCTCTCATCATTTTAACTGCTTCTCGTGTTCGGCCGAGCTTTCTGGAGCACATGGCCAGTCTTCTTTTTATGTACACCAATACGTTGGTGTCTCTTCCTGGTGGAGGGACACACACACATGATGTCACACATGCAGACCTCTTTTACTGGTCATATAAAGACAATTATGTGCTGGACCAGTTTCCACCCGCTCATACTCACTGTGCTGGGCTTCATACTGTGTACCGTGATGTTGGAGCTGTTGGCTGCGGCGGTAACAGCCCTCTCCAGCTTTTAGCGCCTGTTTAAACAAACGTTCAGCCTCCATGATGGTTGTAGCTTCTTCCTCCGCCAGCAGGATGTACGCTGTCGCACAGCTACAGGAGAGGAGAGGAGGAGAGGAGCAGGATCTGTTAACCAGGAAATTACAAACTAACCTTGTTCTCATATCCTCATGGAGACGTTCATTAATTTACCAACTCAATACACAGGGCGTCTTGTTTGTCTACACAGTGTGGCATCTCTGTGCTTTAAAACTGCGCTTACGCTTCATGTGTTTGTAAGCAGCATCTGACAGAGCACTGATCAAAGAAGTTTTCCTCTGAGTCAACGGGCTGTCACGGCCTTGATATGAGCTGAAAGCAACACACAGCACTGCTACAATTCCTCTGCAATGCCTTTGTAGTCGCAGATGCTCCTAAAAATAAACCCACACTGCAATGAAAACAACTTGTCTTCCCCTATGAATGATGCAGGTATACAGAGGGCCAATCTGTGGTGAGAAGCATCGACCCTCCCTCCAACAAAACCTACTGCTTACAATCTTTCAGGTTATTCCATATTGAAGTCTACTAACTAAAGAGCTGCACTGGGATCCCCGACTCAAATCATGTGGGAGGGGGCGGCGTTAACTTTGCTGCAAGTGGGAGCAGGCGGTCAAAAAGCAATCAGCAGGTTGCGGGAACTGTTGGAATATAACGAAATTAGAGGCGCCTCTCCTGATCAGTGTGTTTAAAGTTTGTCTCTTTATGGTCCCTCTTTGTGTACCGGTCACACAGGATGAGAGGGTGTGGGCTCACCGGCCAATCACAACCAAGTTAGGTAAGCTTCTTTACTTTAAAACATGACACACAATGTGATAAATGTTTGTATTTTTGTGTTAATTAGTGTTGCAACCATAAGTGACAGCTGTTCATATGTAACCAGCCCTCACTGACCTGAGCAGAGTACCCAGCCCCCTCCAGGCCATGGGATCAGGCGGGGAGAAAACACACAAGATAGCTTCCATACCCTGTTTAAAATCCTTAAACAAAACATCTGAAACTAGACCCTGGTGTTGCCTTGTTTGTTATTGCTGGTGGAGATGCAGGCGCAGCAGGCCAAGCAAAGCACCCCAGACATCCCTCTCAACAGCAACGCTTTCCAGCTCCTCCTGGGGGACCCTGAGATGTTCCCAGGCCAGATGAGATATATAATCCCTCCAGTGTGTTCTGGGTCTGCCCCGGGGCCTCCTACCAGTGGAACGTGCCTGGAACACGTCTAATGGGAGGCGCCCAGGAGGATCCTGATTAGATGTTGAACCACCTTAACTGAAGCCTTTCGACACAAAGGAGCAGCGGCTCTACTCCGAGCTCCCTCCACATGTCCCAGCTCCTCCCCCTATCTCTAAGGCTGAGCCCAGACACCCTACAGAGGAAACTCATTTCAGCTGCTTGTATCTACGATCTCGTTCTTTCAGTCACTACCCAGAGCTCATGACCACAGGTGAGGGTTGGGGCGTAGATGGACCAGTAAATCGAAAGCATCGCCTTCCACCTCAGCTCCCTCTTCACCACGACTGTGGCACAGTGCCTGCATCACTACAGACGCCACACTAAACTGCTGATCCATCTCACGCTTCATTCTACCCTCACTCGTGAACAAGACCCAGAGATACTTGACCTCCCTCGCTTGTGGCAGTAATTCACTCGCACACAGAAACAACATCAGCTCCCAGTGCGTTCTATAATTCAGCCTTTGACACAAAGAAGTAAAATCTGACTCCATGGACGTTGCTACTCCAAAAGACAGTGATGGTCTAATTTGATAGGAGGATGGCAGTCACAGCTTGTGACTTAAGATGATCTAGTCTGTAATTCTAGTAAAACCTACAGTCGCTTCATCCTTAAACAATTTCCAGTTCCATTTAAAAGACATTTCTCTGCTCACTGCTGGTCATTGATGTTTGAATCTACTGAGCTTCATGAGGCAGGTTATAGGTAGAAAATGAGAACAAAAATCAATCTGTGTTTTCTGCATGAATAAAACTTTAAACAGGAGACTTAAAAATTGACAGGGCACGTTCTATGCTCCAAGGACTCCCTGTTTCACTGGGTATCATTATAATAATTAATTATCACCACTATTAACACAGACCATTGAACAGATTTATTTGAACTGTACTTTTGCTTTCTCACATTAACACATCACTATTTTAAATGATAACCAACAGTCCCAACAGCTCGTCTCAGAGGGCAGAGTCCTAAAACAACACACATTTATACAGAGATGAAGTGAACTCACTCTTCGAGCTCCAGAGCTTCATGTGCTGCAGAGATACGAGCCTGTGGGTTCCTCTCTCTCCACGCCTTCTGCATAACTGTCATCAAACGAACACAAAGAAGAACATTTAAAGATCCAGTGTGCAGGATGTAGGGGGAGCTAATGTTTTAACTGGGACAAATGGTAGGTCACATATCACCCCAATTCTCACCTCCCTCTCTTGGCTGCCAGTTAACTTCAGAATGATTTTAAGATTCTTTTAATAACTTTTAATCCTCAACATGGTTTAGCTCCCAGTTATACAGCTGAGCTTCTGACTACCTGTGCTCCAAGTCATGACCTGAGATCATCAAGTCTACCCTTGCTAGTCGACCCTAGATCGAGGCTGGCAACTAAAGGTGACTGGGATTTTGCCATCGAGGCCCTGAGGCTCTGGAATTCTCTGCCTGAGGAGATCAGGCTTGACAGCACATTACCTGTTTTTAAATAATTGCTTATGTAACAGAGATAATAATTTGGTGATTCCACACACCATTACAAGCTGTCTTTCTGTCATTATGGAAGGTGCACTGATTTTAATGTTGTTTGTTGAGATGTATTAGTTACCACAGAGATTTCTTCGTTTTTTTGTGTGTACTTGAACGCCACACTGACAAGGCCCTGCAGACTTCACTGAGGAGCCCCCGTGCTCTGTTACAGTCTGCTGTCTCTGTTGCCTTCAGCTAAGCTCTGCCAAAAATACTTTACTTTTTATGGTTCAACGTGTGTTTTATTTGCCGTAAAAGTTCCCGGAAACACTAATTAATGTTCTGTGATGATGTTGGGTGGTTGGAGATGTATTTTAGGTTACTGTGCAGGTAACTTTATTAGCTTGTTAGCTATGAGTGGCGGCTAATCCAGGTGGTGTGGCTGTTTGATTTGCAGCAAGCTTTACATGTTTTGTTTCAGTGTATGTTGAGCTGCGGAGGCTGATTGTCTTGTTTTAGATCCACCAGTGCCAAAATAAATGTGGGTGCAAGCCGGACAGTGACAGAGTGGGTCATTATTTAATCGACACAATGTAGGAGTACTACCCTGTTACACTTAAACATATTTCATAGGAAAGCTTTCCCTATTAATGCCTGATTTGTAACTTTTGTGTTTTATTTCCTTTTGTGCTGTTTTGGCCTCTTTTTGTTTTCTAATTATTGTTATAATTGTCTTATTTTCATGCACTTTGTGAAGCACTTTGTTTAGATAAGTGCTCTACAAATGAAGCTATTATTATCATATTACATCACCACCTACGCACACAAATGATGATGCTGTACTGTATATGTACGTGTTTGCTTACTGGCGTCAGCAGGCCGCAGGTGGTCTGAGTCACATGTAAAGAAGGTCTGATGGTCTTGTGCCGACAGATTCATATCGTAGTATGTCAGCGGCTCTCGACCTGTTACCCACGTATATCTGAAAACACAGAGATTGATAATCAGCAGCGCACTAAGTGAAAGATCAAGAGAATGAAAGACCTGAGCTAATTCAGCTGCTCAGATGTTCCTAAGATGTTGTTCAGATAACAGTAAATGAGTCACAGCCTGTGCAGCCTTAATGGCTATTGTACTTGACTGAGATTGGCTGGAGCTCCGCATGCAGGTTGAGAGGTAGAGAAAATGACAGGATAATTACAACATGAGAAATGGGAAAGTGGAGGATGACTCAATCGGAGGAGCAGGAGGTACATCAAAGAGAGGATAAAAGCAAGAATGACAGAGAAGTGAAACTGATGAGCACAAATCAAAAGGAAGGAAAGTAAAAGAAATGTGAAGAAGAAGAAGAAAGGATGAGAGGATGCACAGAGACAGAAAGGAGGAGTTGATAAGGAACAGATGATGGTCAGAGGAGAAGATAAATGAAACACGAGGATAAAGAGAAAACGGCAAACAGATGACGGAGTGTGAGGTGAGAAACAGAGTAAGAGAAGGAGAAGAAAGAGCTTATCAAACACAGATAAGGAAACACGAGAGAGACTGATTAGGAAAACAAACACACACACACATCAAAGAGGGGGAAGAAAGAGAGAGACAGTGGAGGCCTGAGCTCAGCTGCCGTCACTCACCGATTATATTCAGCTCCACGAAATAAATTCAGCGGATTTCTCCATACTTTACATTCTGCAGGAGGGAGACAGACAGAGAAAACAACAGTGCTGATGAGTGTCGAGGGTAAAGTCGACAGTGAGCCTCCTCGCCACACTTCAAAGGGCTTGACTGTGCGTTCTGCCATCCGCCCTACAGCTGCCTGACTGGCTATCGACCTCTCTGAGCACAGCTGACAGGGAGAAGGCCCAAAAACTCCTCAGTGACCAAAACATGCCTCTGCACAAACTCTCACTGCTGTCAGTGTTTTGGCTCACAGCACTCAACAGATAAATGCAGGATACAGGATATAAAGATTTGGGGGTTTGATATGTTGATACTATTTATACTTTTTGACATGTGATAAATTTCCCAACAGAGAGGGAAACTCCGGCAATTTTACTCATCAAGATCAGTCCCTTCATCATGAAGAGTTTGACTCATTCTGAGAAAACACCTGTAAAATGTGACCTGTGACTCTGGAGGAGCTGAAAACCCCCTGATGATGCAATCACAGTTACTATCTTTACTTTAGGGAACATTTATAACAGACAACTTGTGTGACATGCTTATGTTTTAAAGACCTGAACATTTACATGAACGTTTAGGAAGGATTTGAGGCAATCCAGATGCATTGTGGGAATTGTAGGGTTCAGTAGTTTTACAGCTTGACCCATGCTTGGTACCAAAGTCCTGCAGCGGGTCAGGTAACCCACGAAAAGCTGTGTAACGGGTAAAAATATGTATAAAATATGTATATATAAAAAAAAAGGTACGGGTAAAAATGAACTACACAGATTGTTATTTTTTGTTTTTTCAGAATAAACCAAAGTAAAAAGCAGTATATGTGTAATATTCTAACATCTAAATCTCTATTATCAAGCTGCAGTTCCTTTTATTTTGAAAGTCAGTGACACAAGTGTAACCTTTAACCCCATGGTCTCATTGGTCACCGACGTGGAGGACTCCAGCCATGAAACTTTGCAGCCCGAGGATGAGGTGGCAGCCTACATGGAGTTCAAGACACCCAAGGAGGATCCTTTGGAGGTTTGATGGTGGTGGAAGGAGCATGCTAACATGTTTCCTAACCTGGCAGTGATTGAATGTTTTCACCATCCAGTCAAAGAGACGTCCAATTCAAGAACGGAGAACCAGCTTAATGTGAAGGACTGGGGCCTGGATGGGTTTGATCACATATCCCCAATATATCCCCGAAACTATTAAACGCCAACTCTGCTTCTATTTGTATGTTTTTCCGACAGGAAACTGAAGCCGTTATCTCTGCTCTCTTCGACGCCAGACCCCACTGATAACAACAGTAATTTTACCTGCAGAACACAGGAGTTGCTGCTCTACAGCTGCCTCCATCTGTTATGTGTTTGTGTTGTGGTGTCAACAAAAGCACGCTGTTTAGCTTCTGTGCTGGTTAGGAGGTCAGAGGAATACAGCTAATGTGGAAGATCGATAACACACAGTTCTGAAAGACGGCTTGACTCAGTCACAAGACACAATCTATTTTGCCTTGAAAAATTAATTTAAATAATTAACTGTTTCATTTATCAACTTATAATTTCAGCACTAGCTACTATCTTTAAACCGAACCCAATGCTGACGTTACAAAGAGTAGAGAAGCCACTATAAACACTTTCAGAAATACTACCCCCCACTGAAAAACAAAAAGACACATTTCATGACTAAATGTGGAGCCACACTAGAATCAGTTCAGCCTCACACACTAGCTGAATTCATGCTGTACTATATTCTTTCAGTTCAAGTGCAGAGCTCTAACTAATCAATCAAGTGTCTTCAGTGAAACTGTCTGTCTGACACTTCTGCTGTAACAAAAGAAAAGAATATGCGACACCCTGCAACTCTGATTTGAATGGAGGGATTTACAGAGAGGAGATTATTAGCCAGAAAACTGAGGATTAGTACAGTGGAAATAATTAGACTGCCTTTCTTCTCTCAGTCATGGCTTGTTGATTTCATACAGCACACATAATCCTTTTTAATTCAAAGTTGTTTGGCTGAAAACAAAAGCAGGCTGCATGGTGTCTCCACAAACAGTTCAAGAACAGGAGAGATTAAACTGATCAAGCGACTTTATACATCATTACAGTTTGAACTTTCACTTTCATCAGAACTTTGGCTCCTGCTAACACGATGTTCAGTGTGTAGAAAGTGCTGCTGCACAGAATCAGACTGAGCTACTTGATATATGCTGCATTATGGATGCATATGTAGGATAAATGTTTTCCAGTATTATACGCGATGGAACCAAAAGAATTATTCAACGCTGAGAAATTTCCTCTTTTGAAATGAATGAATTTCCACTGGGGAGCAAATTCACATATAACGGATTAACCACGATCAAAGCATAGCTGATGTAGAACGCAAAGCCAAGAAGGCGCTAAGCAGAGCTCACTGAGTGACTGTGCAGGATGTCGCTGGACAGACTTGAATTTCTTAGATTTCCTCTGCTGGAGTTCAACAAGTTCACTGTGAGTCACTCAGTATGGCCTCACTGTGCTTTTTTTAACACAGCAACACCTCTTCTTTAAACGTTTATCAGAACAGAGAGCTTTTCCTGTTCGCCTGTTTCTTTACTGGGGCTGTAATCGACTCAGAATTATGTCAGTCCAATTTGACTTGGCTGTTCAACACGAATATTCAACTATTCTTTCCTCTTTTTTCCACACAGAGTTTGAGAATCTTAGTTTAGAGTTCAGCGTGAAGCTCAGGGTGACAATCAGTACGTTTACATGACATTAGAGAAAACTGATTTATCGTGTCAGTCCGACTAAAACCAGACTTTTAAAATCCATGTATACATGTTAGTACAAATCCTGGAGCTGCTCCACAAACAGTAAAAAAAGTGCAACCACTACTAAGATGAAGGTATATTTCCAGATTCACAGTTTGAAGCAACACATTCAAACAAAACTCATGTGGACAGAGTTTCTCACATAAACCTTCTACAAGCTGAGACAGTTCCTAATTTAACGTCAGTGCATCAACACGAACAGGTGACAGGATGACAAGTGTTGTGCTGCAGTGTGAACAGCTGTCTGTATCTGCAGCAGAGAAATGATTCTGATAGCAATCCTATCAAAAACAATATCAGTAAAAACAAGTGTGAAAGCCTCTCCCCAAACTCTACATTAAAAATCAATGCTTTCATTGCCTTCAGCAGGCCGCTGGGGTTTGTTGCAGTGCGGCTGAAAAATTGCTTTGACATTTTACAACATTTTGGCTCTTTAGTCCTCCTTTTTGAAGTTAACACAGCAGAACCAAAGTGAAGGGCAGCAGTGACCGGCAAAGGAATGAGATCTGGAGCTGAAAGTTAAAGTGAGCAGGGACTCTGAGCCGGCCCTTTGTAGCTGTTAGATAAATACATGATGGTAATGAACATTATAACATGGCAGTGAGGCGTCCATCTTTCTGTTCATGTTCTTTGTGTGTTTTACAGGGTTCATACAGACATGACAACATGAAATTTAACAACGTCCAGGTACTTTTTCAAGCACTATTTTTTTCATTTTCAGGGAAATTTTTATCAAACATAAATAAAGTATATGATCAATGTCTCTTCTCAGTGAAGGGTTACTTATCACACTCTTTTTAGACATAATTGTATAAAAATCCTCAACACAACATTTGAATAGTGTGAGAGCTACGATGCTAACGTCACTATAATACAAAACTTTCTTGCGCTTTGAAAAGTTCCAATCCACGCAAAGTTGCAGAGCAAGAGCATCAACGTAACCATAGAAACTGACTTCAACTGAACACACGAGTGGCGCCCTCCTGCCTGCACATGGTGCCTATCAGACAGATTTGTCAGCTCGTTACTACAGGAAGGAAAAATTATCTTTAAAATAAAACCATCTGAATTAGCGCAAGGAAACAAGTGAGCTGGAGCTTAAGTTTCAATATCAGTTTGAGGTGTAGCTATGACACTGCTGCACTGCTGAAGACAGACGACGACAAATGACAGTGAAAAGCTGGCTCATGACATTAAGTCATGTTAAGTTTAGCCAGCACAGGCCTGCTGGTTTTAACGGGGTTTTAGGAGGTGAGTAAAAACAAACTATGATGGGGGCAGGACATCACCAAGGAGAGGAGGAGCACACCACAAGACGTTGATGTGTCAGAATTTAAAAAAGAAAAAGCTGAGCGATTTAATTTTATTGACTTGATGAACAAAACTTTTGTCAAATTAAAAGACAGCGTTATGTGGCTCATTCGAATTTCAAGGACTTGTTAAACACGTATTTATAGAAAAATGGTCTTTTCATAAAACTGTTTATGCAGCAGACAGACAAAAATACTTTTGAAATCGGTGCTTTGACCAGAGAAGACAGAGAAAAAGGGCTGTGGCATTCGCTTCTCATCACGAGGTAATAAACCTACAGCTACCAGAATGCACTGCATCGCATCAGACCAATAAACGCTCCCACTGGTGGGTGACATAATGCGAACTTGTCCGTTTGACACAATGAGGGCCAGCTGGTAACAAATGATCTCCTATCACAGTTAAACAGCAGCTAAAACATGTTTCAGGCAACTCAGTAACTCACTTCCTGTTCACAAACTCTCACTATTACAGCTAAACACGGCACTAAAATATGTTTCTGAAAACATTTTTGGCAAGAAATACGCAGTGCAGTAACAGAATCTTGGTTCATATTCACACAGCACTGCCCAGTCACAGTCACAGTCATAGGACAGCAGTAAATTGACGGGAAAGGGAGTGAGCGGGGGATGATGCTCAGCACAGGGCCGTGGGTTGGAACTGAACCCAGGACTCAGCCTATAAGGTGTGCACACTCTACCAGGTGAGCTAGATGTCGCCCCTTGACCTGCTTCTATACTCTTTGTGTCTGTGGTGGCATAGGTGGTGGGCAATACGAAAATGTGCAGGTACAGACTGTAGTTTAAGCAACAGACCAGGAGAGCCAGCGAAACTCCTGGATGACGTGATGCATCATTTGCGTCATTTGGCAGAGTTCTGTCAGGAGGGGAGGAGGGATATCAAGGCACGAGTTAGACTGAGGGAAGTAAACCACAGTTTATTTACACACACTACCCACATTGTTTTGATTGTTTGTTTTTTTTTTTTTTTTAAAGAGGCAAATGTAAAATAATACCATGAAAACATTTTTCATTGTACAAATCTCCCTTCACATTTTCTTGATCTCATAGAAGCATCTTTTTATTACCAGCTGGTCTCTGTTTCTACTAAAATGCTCCCTGTTGTGAGTGATGGAAATGTTGGCGATGATGTCAAACACCAACACAGAGCTGTATACTGTTGTTAAAATCAGGCTCTGTCCTGCTTTCTGTTCTGATGCTGCACACAGCTCTGTGAGGTGCTCTCATGTGTGTGGTGGATATTCCTATCAGCTCTTACCGGACACACTTTGTCGATTAGAATCGGCCTCTCCATTACTGGTGTTGGAGTTGCTGGGGGAGCTGCTGTCCACTCCGCCCAGCAGGGGGCGCAGGTGACTCACAGACACCTGCTCTATGAAGGACGTCCCATATTTCCTGAAATACCACCACTCAAATATCTGAGAGACAGAGAGAGGGAGAGAAAAATATTCAGTTTAGTTCAGTGGTGACCACATGGATGAGTAAAGAAATACTTTATGTTTCTCCTCACACAGAGGTGATAAATCTAAAAGATGCAGCCAACCTGAGTTTCCACATAAAACAGGATGAACACATAAAGACAATTACTGGCTGGTAGCTGGTTTAGAAAAACTACCCTGTATGCTAAATAACTTCAGCTAGCAGCTATTCCCCATCTGCTCCTAACACCAACTTTATGATTTCAATTAGACCGTGGACTAAACTACTCCAGTGATTAACACTGTCTGCACCAGTAGTTCTCAGCCGTGTGCCACAAAAGCCCTGGAGTGTTCTACAGAATTTAACCAATCACCACCTCTAGCCTGAGAGGAGCGGAGAGGAACTAATCAGTTAATCCTGCTGTTTGGTTGGACTGAAACTCTGCAGACTGTTGGGTCATGGTGGCACACGTCTGAGAAGCACTCGGATGACAGAGTGGCTCGTCCATTAATCTGCATGTTAAAGTGTCTCTGAGCAAAGCACTGAGTCCAGGCTGCTGCATGGCGTCCTCATGTGTGTGTGTCCGGTGAATGAGAGGACCTGAACAAAGCTTTGTTGTGCTCTCAGGTTAAAAGCACTGTGTACTGTGAGTGCACTCTATTTATCTCTATATCCCCACACTGGGTTCGAACATCACTCTCCTTTAACAAATCTGCACATACTATTTCTAAACCAAACTTCTGCCCGATCACCTTATACTACCTTTCTGACAGTATGTGAAGGTTGCTGGTTTGATTCCAGTCCATCTGTGGCGCTTCAGCAAACACATACTGGTGATGCCACAGTGAGAACATTTTGCCACAGATTAACTGGACACAGCGCCAGTGCCAGATATTTTACCAGATATTCATCAATGACGCTCAATATCTGTAACATGCTAACTTTTGTCTTAAATGTTACATCTTCAGATCCTCTCATTACTTCATTTACTTCTCATTACTACTTCTTTGTCTCCTCAACATTCAGGTCGTAGTCACCCCAATAGCACAGGTCCATGAATGCTACCAGTTTCAGTTTCCCCATGTCCGAAAAGGTCTGCTTAGGTCAGTGTGGTGTAAATCCCATCAATCATCCATTTCCGTGACGGTCCACAGGTCTTTTCCTGTAACCACGTGGACTGTAGGTACAGCAAGAGCACCGACTGCACATGCTCCAAACTCTTGCTCCATGCTGCAGCCCAGTCCAAAACACTGCTGTCAAACCAGCCAATGCAGCCTCACCACAGTGAAGATAGTTTAAAGCTTGAAAATTTGACAGACATTCACTCCAGACCCAGCAGCATCGTTAAATTTCACTTTAACCCGATGTCGGCAGTAGGAGGACAGTGAACGCACCTCCAGGCACTCCCATTTTCTACCGAAAGCTGAAGCAGACCATCAACTGTACTGTGAATAGAACTGTGTGCGTGTCAATGTGATCGCGGCCCTCTGCTGACGTATGTATGTTCGAGCCTTTACGAAGCACACACTCTCAGTTTATAGTAATCCTAGCTTCATTCGTCTGACTAAGTATCATTAACACACTTAGTACTTTACAAATCAGAAATTCTAATTTGATAAACTCAGGTGCTGATATGCAAATACAAAACAATTGGGTTTCATTTCTATTTTCTTAAAAAAAGCAAAACTTTGGTGGGGGCAGTGAACAGGTGATGTAATCACTGTGTAAAAAGTCCTTGTTTGCACAAACACAATTCTAAGGCACTGACACACCAAAACGATGGTCAGCTGTTGCCTAATGTCGAGCTGTTGATGCGCGTCTGTCACTTTAGTTTTAACAGTGTGTCTTCAGCTCTAGTCTAAGTGGCGTGTTCATGTGCAACTTTTAGGCCGAGACACAGGCAACGTGAGATAATGCAACAGTCGGCTTTCCGTCTCGTACCATTGGCACTAGTCGGCCCTTGTCTGCTCTTTTTTTTTTTTTTTTTGGCCGATTCAGTATGTTGAATTAGTGTTGGAGCCAACCGAGCCTGTTGATGAACTAAACCATTCTGATCGGCAGCTCAGCTCAGCGCATGAGAAGAGAAACAGAAGTGAGGAAAGTAAACAAACAGCTAAAGTCAAGAGGGTGTGAGATCACAACAAACTTTGTTACATTACGTAAAATTGTATTTTTAACAATTGAGCTCTTTAGCTGAAGTTCTTGTTTGTCAGCCCACAGTCAATATCATTTGTTCTTTCAGCGTCGGGTTGTGTTGTTAAGGTGCTAACTGGTTAAGTAGTGTCTCGAATCCGTCCTGTCAGTCTTACTGCCGGTTTCCCTTTTTAAATGACAGACTACTGCCGCCTGCTGGTATGGAGAGTTCTTTCCTCTCACACAGGTGCAGAACATAGGAGCTAGCCGGCCTACCCCAGACACAGACGATGAGAGGAGACGCAGCAGTTGGCCTTTATCGCCACTAAGTCTTTGATGACAGTTTGGTGCATGGGGGCCCTAACACCAACATAGTGTTCAGCACCAACTACCACGACGAGCCCAACACATACTGCACATCAGTTAATATCGAGTTACCTGGTGGGGCTGTTCAGTGAAGGACTGTGACTACAAATATTAAATAAGGATGTTGCTAAATAAAAAAAGGTTTGAAAATATAGTAATTTAAGAACCATTCATGAAACAGTTTTAATGGCTGAAATGTGTGAAAAGCATCCAGAATACTGATGAGTACAGTATTTTACTGAGCGTACATGCTGCCATCTGGCAGAGCTGTTACACTGTCAGCCTCTGCTTCAGGCAGAAAGTGATTTTTGACGGGACTTATCTACAACACTTCAGTGGAAACCAACCTAATTGGGACATCAACATCTTTTCCAATTACAGAGAAATGACCAGTGCTGCTAGGACGAAATCAACTGGCTTCCACCACATTTCTTAATCATCTCTCAGAGCGTGTGCAAAGCTCAACACCTTTCCTGAGCAGCCTACGCACATTGGCCAATAGCCCGCAGGGAAGAGAGAGTGAGTGAGTTAATTAAGAGAGGAGCTATTTTAAAATACAGACCAACCACTGTTGCACAGTTGGCTGTCTCTGAGAAGAACTTGAAAGAGAGATAAAATACCTGCATGAGAAGGAAAAGACTCACCAACAGTTTCATTATTATATCGCTTCCATGCTTTGATGATTTGTCACATTTTTATTTATTCCATTTATTTTTGACTACTGACGTACACCAAACTTTTTTTTCCTCCTTTAGAGCAGCTGAGAGAAGAGTGGCAGCTCGATATGAAGGTCAACAACGTCAAACCACAAGTCACCAGTTTGGTGCTGCAAACAAATTAACTGTTTAATGCCCAGAGATGGAGAGCTCTGTTAATATCTTCAGACACACCCCACACAAAACACCTCAAACTGTGTTCTGTGTACGAAAGGCACTGACAGTGTGTTACATGGTGTCATACACCATGAGGCAGGAGAGGCCGGAGGGTGCCAGTTTTTTAGCAGCTCCTCTTATAAAGGACCAAATGAGTATAGATTTCCTCTCTCTTCAAATCCTCATGGCCTCTGAACCTGTGATTATAGTCCGAACAATTTACATCCTGGGCCCATAAAGTCACCTGAGGAGCCACCTCTGAAAATGAATTTTCTCTTTTGAACATTATGAATGAGAATATCAAGTAAGAGCTCACAGTCATCACCCTTAAAGTGGGATTTTTACATTTAGCTGATGCACCAGAACAACTTACAAGGAGTATTATAAAAGCAGGAGCCTGAAGCACTTAAGTTATTAACCAAGAGTCACACCCATTGTATTTTAATAACATTAAGAGAGTCAAATAATAATTTTCAAAAAAAAGATAGCCTTGATTTGTGAGAACTGTCTTCAAAATCATCACTAATATCATAATGAATTTGAACTCTACTCTCAGTATATTCAGATCATACTGTGAACTTCTGCACATCTCAGGACAATATTTTACAAATTTCTACACAAAAAATTACAACTTCTTAAACTGTTTAGCTTTTCCATTTTAAGGCAGATATATTATACATATACTTTTATATTTTTATTATATTTTTTCCTTTTTCTAAATTCAACCCCAATCCCAGAAAAGTTAAGACGCTAGATAAAACACAAATAAAAACAGAAAGCAATTATATGCAATCCCTTTTTGACCTATACTGAATTGAAAACAGTACCAAGATATTTTATGTTTACACTGACAACCCTTGTTGTTTTTGTAAATATACACTCAAATCTGAATTTGATGTTGCAATAAGTTCCAAAAAGTTGGGACAGGAGCATGTTTACCACTGTGTTACATCACCTTTTCTTTAAACAACACTCAAGAAGTGTTTTTTGTTGTTTTGAAAGTAGCTTTCAAAGTAAAATTCTTTTCCATTCTTGCTTGATATCCGACTTTGGTGTCTCAACAGTCGACGCTTCATAATGTTCCACACATGTTCAGTGGGAGACAGGTGTGGACTGCAGGCAGGTCAGTCTGGTACCTGCACTGTGTCACTACGAAGCCACACTGTTGGAACACGTCACAATGTGTCTCATTGTCTCGCTGGAATAAGACGCAACGTCCCTGAAAAAGATGGTGTCTGGATGGCAGCATATGTTGCTCCAAAACGTGAAGTTACCCATGATGCAGCTCTCCATCCCATCACAGATGTGACGTTACTCATGATGCAGCTCTCCATCCCATCACAGATGTGACATTACTCATGATGCAGCTCTCCATCCCATCACAGATGTGAGGTTACCCATGATGCAGCTCTCCATCCCATCACAGATGTGACGTTACTCATGATGCAGCTCTCCATCCCATCACAGATGTGACGTTACTCATGATGCAGCTCTCCATCCCATCACAGATGTGACGTTACTCATGATGCAGCTCTCCATCCCATCACAGATGTGACGTTACTCATGATGCAGCTCCCCATCCCATCACAGATGTGAGGTTACCCATGATGCACCTCTCCATCCCATCACAGACGTGAAGTTATCCATGATGCACCTCCCCATCACAGATGCTAGCTTTGAACTTTGAGCTGGTAACAATCTAGATGGTCCCTGAGGACAGGACGTCCATGACGGACTGGTCAGACCACTTTGTGTCAGTCCATCTCAGATGAGCTTGGGCTCAGAGAAATGGGCGGAGCATGGTAGAGTCTGAACTGTCATTGGTAGATGCAGTGATGTGTTTACTGACAGTGGTTTTCCAAAGTGTTCCTGAGCCCATGTAGTAATATCCTTTATACAGACATGTTGGTTTTTAATGTAGTGCAGTCTGAGGGGTCAAAGGTCACGGCCAGTCAGTGTTTGTTTTCGGCCAGAGATTTCTGCAGATTCTCTGAATCTTTTGATGATATTCTGGACTGTAGATGTGAAATCCCTAGATTTCTTGCAAATGTGTGTTAAGGAACACGTTTTCTTTAACTGTTAGACTAAGGACTCTTTTAGGGCCAACGTCACAATGACATCATGTTATCACCTGGAGGTGGAGCTGCCTCTCCCCCACAGGGCTGTAGGCTCCATAGGAGTGTTAAAATGTGTTTGTCTTGTTGTGTTATTGGGAGCCAGAATAGAAGGAGTCATGGCTCAAAACCAGCCGCCACTGCCCGTCAAAAAAAACAAAGACAATTATGGTTAAATGTGATAAGACCAAAGGACCTGACGGAGGCCATCATCAAAAATGCTCACATATGCAGCGCACACTTCATATCAGGTTAGGGAAAAAGTATTTCCTGTTGTAGGGATGAATAAGGTTATGTGTATTAAGGGTTATCATGTCCACCTCATCAGAAACTGGGGAGGGATTAAGAGGAATATTGGATTTCTCTGGAACGCTAACTTTTTAGCACATTAGCTAACATTAGCTTCCATAGCAAAACAAACAAGTGCCGTCCTCCTTTGTAAGACTGGCGTTGGAGTTATTCACATTTTACACAGTGTCCCAACTTTTTTGGAACTGGGGTAGTATTTTTCTCAAATTGTGTTTTGTTTTTGCACCAAGACACAGAAAGCGAATTCCTTGTATGTGAAAACCTATTGAAATACTACTTAGCAAATCTGATTCTGACTAAAAAGAAGTGATGTTTCTTACCAATATGAGTCCTGATATGAGGGAGGAAGTGCCCGTCAGAGCCACGTAAAACTTGGGCGTCAGGGTGTTGAGAAACATGCTTACTGTAAAGGAGACACAGAGAGAAGAAAAGACAGATGGGTTAGAGATTACTATTAAACACTACAAAACCTCTCGCCTCCACCAAAGGAGGATATATCAGAAAAGATATTTGCAGAATCAAATGCTGTATGTCCATATAAAACTAGGTTATGTCTGCCCAGAAGACAAGACTGCGAGAAACACATCAAACAGACTCAGAAGATTCGAGCACATTTGTGATCACAAGACATGAAACATTTCATGCTAAAACACAGCATCCACATGCAGCGTTTGGCATTTCCCAGAGAGCACTGCTGCTCAGACGTGAAATTGCACAACGCCAGGGGAGCAGGGTAAGCCTGACTACAGAGTGAAGACACACTGTAGAAAACCAGGGAGCAAATTGAGCCTGACTGGCAGCTGAGATACAGTATTCACAAGCAATTTACTAAACTTTACCAAGCAAATACAACTTTTAGCTTGAAAATATGTCATGTAGATGGTGTGTGAATGGCTGTGAAGTGGACAGAGTAGAAACCGCAGTGAGTTTAGCAGCATTCAACTCAATGTGTAGCTGGTAGTTAATTTTCTAATGCTAGCTCTCAGCATTTACTGAGCAAACAGCCTTGAACTCTGGCTACTACAAAAACAAGAAGCTTCACTTCTACTACTCTTATCAGCACAGGTATATCTCATCAGTGCTGTCAGTGACTATAAAATGTGATGGATGTCAGAATGTACTATAAAAAATGAAGTATTATAGGTTTAACTTACCAAAACAAAAGCTTTACATTTCAACTACAACACCAGCTCTCATCACCCCTCAACCCCTTCACATTTAACTCGTTTTCTACACAATTAAAATCTTCTACTACCAGTTACATCAGGTCTGTGAACTGGAAAATTAGATCTCAGAAGGCCTTATCTTACACACAGTGCACAGCGGCGCTCAGCACAGCACAACAGTCACTGTTAATTTCAGACCGATGCAGTTGTAATTTTCACAGCCAGCAGCCACGCTGTGTGAGTAACAAATGTATGAGAGTGTACATCTTAAAATGAGGTGTGGTCAGGTGAACTCTTGCCGTACTGCTGTGCTGAGGCTGCAGAAAGTGAGTGATCTGTTGACCAACAAAAACCTGGTCTGAAGTCAGAGTGGCTCAGTATTTTACTGCTATTTAAAGAGTGTACTATTCAGCTGGTGAGATGCACCGACATGAGCGGGTTCAGAATGCTCATAGACTCTGCTTGTTACACACACAGCAACACATGCAAGGGTGCAGGTGGGTGAAATAATACATCATTTAAGAGGAAAATAACAATTACATTCTCTAAAATGTCAAATCAACTGCTGTCCCACGCCATATTAAGAGAGACGCTGTGTGCATTAACACATGAGGAGCAGCATAACTTCATTATTTCAGAAGCTAAAAGTTTAGTTCTGTTTCCTCTGTCAAGTTTATAACCACAGTCTTTTGTCCTGCTGCTTAAATGTCCTTTAATATTTACACAGTGACATCACTGATCTTACTGCTGTACATTCAGCAGAAAACTGCTCGCTTCTCCAGTTTGTTGAGTCAGACATGAAAATAGCAGTGTATTTACAGGGAATTGAGATGACACAAGCTCCTTTTACTCTGCCTCCTCAAGGTGGGAATTTCACGCCTTTATGCCGGCTCGCCATTGTGTGTAAAAGGTACAAAGGCAGAATGGAGGGACAGAGTTGACCTGCCTTTAAACCAGCATCAAAGGTAGTGACAGCACCAAATCAACGTCTATATAAACGGGACAACCGGCAGGACGGGATCATGAGCGGTGCAGGTGTGACATTTTGACGACGTGTTGAAAAAGTAGCTGATAGCAGTTAGCAGCTAACTCAAAAAAGTGTAGCAGCCAAAAATGTCCACAAATTGGGAAAACAATGAGGTCCAGGAGCTCCTTTACCTTCAAGCAGAGGACGAGATCAGCCACCATATTAACAGGGACCACTAATGATTATTATTGACATGTTAATGTCATTGTTATCCTTAATAAAGCGCCGCCAACACATATGTTAAATGTCATATTAAAGGCCAACGCTGTTCTGTTACATGTCACACCCATTGCGCTTCTTCTGCTTCAGCGATGCCGGCATGCTGTCTAAAATCACACACTGGAGCAACATGATGCCGTCGTCGTTTGGTTCTATATAAAAATGCAAACGTGGCTTAAAGAAAGACTGTGTAGCGGCTCTATAGTGTGATCTTTGTGTAAAAAGGGCTGCTGATTGGCTAAATTTATATTCACGCCCAACTCAAGTCAACTTAAGTAACATTACAGTCCTGATTTTGAAGTTTTAACCACTGGTTTTTACCTCATTTTATCCCTCCTGTTCATTTTTATTCTATTTTATTCATTAATTTTCTTTTCTTTGTACGGACATTTAATCATCATCATTATATTTTATTGTCTTATTGTTGTAATTTTCTAGTCCTGCAAAATTTTACATTTAGTTGTTAGTGTTATCCTTTAAATTGTATCTGTGTCATTCCAAATTTGCCATGTGAAGCACTAATTTAGGAACTCAATACAACCTCTTCGCTCTGAACACCTTACTTTGCACCCAGATTATGCGCCATTTAAGAAGCAAAAGTGTCTGGACATGTCTTAAATGCACTTTAGATCATGTGCTACAGATAACTTAAATATGGCCCAGAGTCAATGATCCATATCAATCATGTTTTACAGTACAGAGCTGAGCCACACTCCTCTTAAAACACCAGTCTTCATCACAACCCTGATACTTTCAAGCCAATTGTATTTCTATTCCACCAGCATCGTTCAAAGGTAATGTATTCATAGTTTATGTAGCAGATCATTATCAGAGATTTTCATGCACTTCTGTTTAGAGTTATTGTCGCGAGTTAATTTCCCGCCCTGAGTGTTGGAAGGAATGAGTGTGACTAAGTTGTTTTAGCTGTAATACTTGTGATATTATTACGCTTGCAGGATGAAGCAACAAAAACAGTGTCACAGTGTCCTCCTCTGCCATCTGTTTTCAATTTGTGTTTTCAATTTCACAAAAGTCTCTTTGAGGAAAAAAACAAAAAAACAATCAGTGATAACCAAAGTGACAAATGATGTTTGGAGCTGTGACCTTTCTGTTCATTATCTAAAAACTGTGTTTATTTTAAAATGCACTGGAGTGATAGTGAACTGAAGTTCTGTCTTTATGGAGCATTATTTTAATTCTGTTTTTATGCTTTAAGCTGGATGCAGATATGAAGTGCCTCCTGCAGCCACAGAAATCTGAATTTGAAGATAAAAAGCAGGTTGAAGTGACTGAGAGGGAAACACACAGTATAAGCAATGATCTGCCTGGAGAGATTAACTGCTACCTGACTGGTGTCACCTGTAAATAGATCCTAACATCTACGACTGCACAGAGCTGCAAACCTGCAGTGAAGTTCAGTGTGTACAGACAACCTGGCCAATGATTATTAACATTTTCACTTCCAAATAAGCTATGTATTTAATATGGTTTAAGAGTTTAACATCAGTCTAACTGCTTGTATGACTGGCCTGTGTATTCTGTGTGCTGCCATTCTCTAGCACAGTTATAACTGACAGGAATGGCAGCCAAAAAATAAAGTGTACAAAGTGTTATCAATATTATAGTAGGACATTTCACTGATTTTTGGTGAGCTGCCAAAATGCACTGTCATTTCTGCTGGTGGCTACAGGTGACCTTGCCCTCCTACATTTGGCTGGGATTCTCTAAGCTGTAGTAATCGATGCTCCACTGATAGACCATCGCTCCGCCATTGTGTTGGGATGTCACATGAAATCACCAGGAGTCAGAAGATGATAGGGAGGGTGGGACAAAGACCCCACTCAGATGAACCCCAGCCTCATACCCACACAGAAACACACACACACGCATAAACTAAGTGCAGCTGGACAGCTATTCATGGCTGTGAAGTGGAGGCTCTCGTCCTCGCAGAAAAGGCTCTTTCAGATTGGCCTGTGGTAACAGCTGCTGTCAGCCTGCACTGATGAGAGGATACTGCTGTCTGGCTGGCAAATGACTCATCTTCATCAAGCTCAAAAAATGGGCCATAATTAACATACGGTCTACTCACAGGAAATAATATAGGAGGGTGGCTATAATCCAAAAGTCACAGATTTAAAGTGGAAACAGAGCTTTGAACTTTGTCTCTATAGAGATGATCATAAATCAGGATGTTTTCACCAAGCTAGAAAAGGTAAACTTGGAATAACAAATAAAGATTACTGTGTTGTGATGGTTTGTTCCACTTCTGCCCAAAACCTGTCCTGCATTTCACACTGGACTAAGTGACTCTGCTGCACTTGTTCCATGTATATAACACAGTCACTGAGACATGTTCCTGTTGTTTGTGTGTGCAGCGAATGAAGCGATCATCAACTGAGCCACTGAACAGAAAAAAAGACTCCGTATCAACAGGACCATATGCAGCAACAGTTTACAGCTAATCTTTTCACTGCAGAGGATATTTCTGACCAGTTAAGCATATCAGTTTATGGGTTAATTTTGCTGGAAAACATCACTTGGAGCTCTGGGAACATGTGATGTACATTTTACCTCATGTGAGGACATTTTAAAGACTAAACAAAGACAAGCAAAAACATTATCAACTGATGAAATAAAACAGTTGTTTGCTGCGGTCCTGTTTGATTTGTCTTGAGGTAAGACAGCGTTAGCAGGGTTGTGAAATTAAAAAAAATAGATCCTCTCTTAACTGCATGCCCTGGAATCAAGCCCCACAGACAGAAACCATTCATCCTCCTAGTGTAATTTAATTACATAATCAACGGGTAAAGTTATAGCACGAATTTCCCAATTGGAGATCAACTGAGACTCAGACTAAATTAAACCGAAATGTAATCAAGCCTCAACATCACACAATTAACTGTAGAATCAGAATGAGACGGCTGATGCCAAATAAGATGCTCAGGTCTCACAGCGACACGGATCAGACACATGACCATGAAGCTGATGGTT